CCCCCCGTTCTCTAACGCCCGCCCCGTTTCGTCCCCACCTCCCCGCCAAGAGCGCCCCGCCCGCGCACAAGGGCCCTGTCCCCAGAGGACGGCTGTGTCCCCGCCCCACTCACTCTACGACACGTCCTGTCTCGCCCTCGGGGACCACCCCCGTCCCTCCCCGCCCCAGCACGGCCGCGTCCCTTAAACACGCCCGGAGACGCACCGCTTGGTCTCGCCGTAACCCCCCCACCCAGCCTTTCTAAGACGCGCCCCGTCCCGCCCCCAGCCCTGTCGCCGCTCCCCGCCCCTGCACGGCCGTGTCCCCCTGTACTCTTTAACACACGCCCCGTCGCTCCCCCGGCTCTACCTGCACCCCCAGGAGCGGTGCCCTGGCGGCGCCCCCAGGCTCCCGACGGCCGTGGCACCGGGGCGCATCGGGGAACCCGCCGGCTCGGGGGCGGGGACCTGCCGGGGGCTCTCGACTCGGGATGCGGCCCACTGCCGCCCCGCGGCCCTGCTGTGTCCGGGGCGGGGACAGCCCAGGACCGCCCAGGCCGCGCGAATCCCTTTTGCGCACCGAGGCTAGTGAGCGCCCGGCCCTCCTGGGCCTCAGCCCCTTTTCAGCCCGCCTTTCAGATCTTTGCAGTAACCGTTTTGCCAGACCGGCTGCGCCGTAGCTCCCGGTACTGCCTGGGAGTACTTTTAATCCAATGTTTATGCTTTTAAAATATAGGCCGCCCCCCTGCTCCGACCGTCCCCGGGCTCCGTGGATATTTGGCGGCAGGCCCGGGCGGGCCATGGTCAGCCGACCGGCCCGGGGGCCCCTTGGCCACAGGGCAAAGGAAGGCACCAGGCTCTGACGGCAAACGCTTAGCGTTTTAGGCTTGCCCTGTACTGAGAACGGAACTAAAGAAACAGCAATACAAGAGTGTGGATTAATTCAGTGCCGGAAATCAAACTCTCACAGACCATGACTTTCAAAACAAAAGACAGCATGTTCAGGTTTGCTGCGGTGTGTTTTATCATGTAAACAGTTGGTACAATAGGCATCTTAATATAGATGCACTCACTAACTACATGTGTTTTCGTTTTTATTTTTTTTTTAGAGACAGAGTCTTGCTCTGTCACCCTGGCAGGAGTACAGTGGCGTCATCATAGCTCACTGCAGCCTGGAACTCCTGGGCTCAAGACATCCTCCTGCCTCAGCCTCCCGAGTAGCTGGGACTACAGGCCCACTTCATCATGCCCAGCTAGTTTTTGTTTTATTTTTTGTAGACATGGGGTCTTGCTATGTTGCCCAGGCTGGTCTGGAACTCCTGGCCTCAAGAGATCCTCCCACCTCAGCCTAACAGTGAGCTGGGATTACAGCCGTGAGCCACCACACCAAGCCACTAATTACATCTTAATTTACTGGCAAGACATAAGCCTCCCTAGCAAGCTGGTTTGGGTCAAAAGACAAAATTACAACAAATTTAAGGATGGAATGAGCTTTAACTTGTGATTCCAGAATCCGGCAACTGCTTGTGCTATAAAATAAGAATGAGTGTTCCACTGACCCGAGAAGAGGAGTTTGGTTTTGCAGGCAGGAAAGGGCTCAAGAAAGCAGAAATAAAGAATAAAAAAGCGGATTGTTCATTTCAAAGTCATCTTTCTCATAGGGTCAAAGCAGAAGGGACTGTCTTATGCCAGCTTAGTAAACCAGACCCATTCTGATCAGTCGCTGTGAATCTCCCGGTGTTTGGAAAACGGGCCCCTTTTGGAGTTCAGCTCCATGGTGCAAATTCGCACAAGTGACTCCATTCTGGTCTGGTCTGGTCTGGTCTTCAGGTCCTTGTTGCAGGGGCTCAGGCCAAAGCAATGCCCTCCCCAAAAATCTTGTTCAACATCTTAATTTAGTGGTAAGAACTGTGCCTTCCCGTCCGAGCGACTTGGCTGGAAATGCCCGTTTTCTGTGCCAAATCCTACAGGTTCATTTCTGCCTTCCGTTTTTCCCTCCAGGGACTCTTTGGCAGTTCTGCTGTGTGTATATTTGCTGCTGGGGACGTGTGAACTTCCAGCGGCAGCGGCGGCAGCGAACGCCTTTAAACCAAATATTCTACTGATAATGGCAGATGACCTGGGCATTGGAGACCTTGGTTGCTATGGGAACAATACACTGAGGTACCGTTGCTGAAGTTATGGGTGGTGTGTGTCCACGTGCTTGTGACCGAAGGGTACATTTCAAACCTGCCTGTAGAAATTAGGAAAATTCCTTCGTGCCTCAGAACTCAACACCAAAAAACATCGTGTTCCAGCAGGATAACAGGGTCTTAAACCTTTCAAACAACATGGAACTGTGGAGAGTGGGTGGGTGTGTTCGTTTCCAAGGGCTGCCCTGATAAATGACCACAACAGGAATGTGTCCCCTCCCAGTCCCGGAGCCCAGGAGTCTGAGACGTGGGTGTCTCGGGGCCGCGCTCCCTCCGCAGGCTCCAGGGGAGGCTCCTTCCTGCCTCTTCAGGCTCCTGGGGGCTCCAGGCGTCCCTGGGCTTGTGGCCGCGTCGCTCCAGTCTCTGCCTCCGTCTCCACGTGGCTTCTCCTCTGTGTCTGTGTCTCCTCTCCTGTCTCTTAGGAGGACACCTGCCATTGGGTTTAGGGACTTCCCTAATCCAGGATGGTCTTATCTCAGGATACAGACTTAATGACATATCCAAAGACCCTAATTTCAAATGAGGTCCCATTCTCGGGTTCCAGGAGTTAGCACGTTGACAGATCTGTTTGGGGATGACCATCTAGCCCCCTGCATCAGGGACATGCACAGAGTAGGTAACCGTCTGTGTCAGTTCAGCAGCTGAACACTTGAGCGGTGGTCACGTGTTTTTGCAACAGGAGAGAAGGTGAGAAAGGTCCGCATGCCACTTTGTGGGCTTTTCTCTTAGGAAGACCGCCCCCAAATCAAGGATGTGTCTACCTCCCAGTAGCTGCCACTCTGTGGACCAGTCCTTACAGAGCAGGACTCTCCCTGTGTGATGGTCACAGCAACACGTGTAGAAATCGACCCTGTACCCCGGCATCCCCCTCCCGGCCCCCTGAGCAGTTCCAGTTACAATTCACAGAACACAGGACTCGCCTGTTTAAAGTGTACTGGTCAGTAGCTTTTAATACATTCACGGACTCGTGCACCTATCACCACGAAACACCGCCGAACATTTCCGTACCTTCAAACGAAGCTTGTACCCCCTTAGCCATTGCTGGCTGTCATGGACTCCATCATGCCATGCAAATTCACGTTGAGTCCTAACTCCCAGGACCTCAGACTGTGGCTGTATTTGGAGAAAGGATCTTTAAAGAGGGGTCTCTGGGAAGCCGGATCCCCAGGAAGTGCAGGGTCTGCAAGCTGCACCTTTCGAAGCAAAAGCGTGAGGGGCCCCTCTGGGACCTAGAGTCTAGGTCGTTAAATGCGAGAAAAGCAATCTTAGGGGAAAGAGTGTTGTCCTTACAGGGGGGCGCTGCCATGTGCAGAAAGTGGACGGATGGATGAGAACCGTTGGGAAGTCTGTGGTCCACACAGACAGACTCCTGGTGTGCAAGACGCTTGCGTGCAAACCCCCAGAATGGCTCTGTAAGGGAAGTATTTAAGTCACGGGGGTTGGGCGTCACCCTGCTTTGGCGTTGATGGACTGCGTAACCTGAGACAGGAACCTTCCAGCTTTACTTGTCTCCTATAAATTGGGTGCTGACTTCACTGGCTAAGAAATTATCAGGACAAAATATAACTCAGGGTGTCCGGAAGGTCTTCACGTGGCTTTCCTTGTTGATAGCTTCACCAGGATAAGTCCTACAAAGTTAAACATCTTTTGAACATTTCTTCCTGTCTCCTTGTTTTACACTAAGTTGCTTTGAGGATATCAAAGGATACATTTTATTTTTTTATCTTTATTCCCCCTCACCCCCCGGGGCAACATTTGCCATCTTCCATGAGAGAGATTGACACACACACACACACACACACACACACATTAGAATTCAAAATGTATTCTTCAACATTTGCAGAACCATTTAAGTTTACAAAGGAAAGTTTGTGCCGGCACAACATCGTTGGGGAGTGTGTAGCATTTATCCACCTGAAGTTATCAGAGCGGAAAACCCACACTAGGACTTTGGAACACCCCCTGGGCTCAGTGGCATCATTGTTCAGTGGATCTACCTTCCACCCCTTCACGATCCATCTTACTTCTCCGTCCACAAAACCCGTGAACGGGAGCCTTCCGGGAATCCTAGCATCCCCACTCTCCAGCGGTCTTGAACACAGGATGTTAGACAGTGGTTTCTAAATGAAAATGGCACCCAATGGCTTCACGACAGGGGGACGTCCGCACCTCTCAAGGAAATCCCGGGTCACTTCTGCGTCCCGGTCCTGCAACCTTGGAGCTCCACCCCTCGGTGCTCTCCCCTGGGGTCGTGTTCTGTGCTCACGGACCACCCTCGACTCTCGGCAATGCCCTCCACCAACACTGGTGGCTCAGCAAGGAGGGCCACCCCCTCGCTACCCTGCAGAGATACCTTAGGCCACTGGGCCATCAGCCTTTGGCCCACCTGCCCTCTGACTCTCGCATTTTCTCTCTGCTGGTTAAGCTGTCCCCGGAGAAGTGTGGTGGTGTGGGCAGGAAAGGGCGAATCTTCGATTCCATTAGGAAGAGCTCTTCCCCAGCTTACAAGCTAACCGTTCACCTCACAAAGGGGCAGCAAAGCTCCAACGGGCGCAATTTAAGCGGGCGAGCGGGCTAGCCCAGGCAGACAGCAAGACTCGGGGGATCCGAGCAGACGGTCTACAACTCACAGCTCAGCGAGCAGCAGACACATCAGCCTAGAGTTCTGGTCCCTGGCCGCCGGGACCCGCGGGATGACGCGGTGAACTTAGCTAGCGGCTCTGCATGCCGTGGGTTTTGCTGCAGCCGAGGACCCCAGACAAGGGCTCAGCACCTTTCCTAGCAGGTAGCATGCAAGGTGGTCCCTGGCCCTGAGAGCGAGCAGTTGTCTGTGAGTCACACTGTGGTCACCGTGACATATTGAATCCCCTATGTGCTTGGCTGCAGAAGCAGCTCAGGGCCAGAAGACCCTTTGGTTTGGTGCGATTAGTAATGCTTTGTGTCATTCTCTCAAGAAGGGTAGTTCCTTTTGTCTCACTGTGAGGTAGCGTTTCTCACACTCGGCACTGTTGGCGTGTGGGCTGGGTGGCTCCTTGCTGTGTTGCTCTGCTGTGAACTGTGGTGTGTTGAGCAGGGTCCCTGGGCTCCACCCACGAGATGCCAGCGGCACCCCCTCACTCACACAGCTGTGACACCAGTAATGTCTGCAGACATTGCCAAGTGTCTCCAAAGCTGCCCTCAGTGGAGAACCACTGCAATACATAACAGAGCGATTTTCTAAAGCATTGCTCCAAAATAGAATATGTTGCTGCATCTCCCATTAACCAGACACCTGGCAGCCTCTTTCCGGGGTTACTCTAAGGAGGGTTTCCTTGTAGGATAGCGGATTGAGTCAGCTGCCTTTGGGGTTCCTACTTGTAATGAGAATTCTGACTCTGCTTTTTCATGTTTGGCTGCTGAAAGGTTTTAGGGCTCCTTCCTCCCTCCTCCTTTGTGTTCCACGTCTGGATGAGCTGATGAAGAATCCAGGTGCTGATGGCAGATTCAGACCACAAAAACCCCTGCCCTTGCACGGGAACACTCATCCCAGCCCCACACCTTCAAAACAATAAAAAACAAAAGAAAACTTTCTTTTCCTTATACCATTTCAGACCAGCTTGGGAGGACTCCCCTGTTCTCCCCAGATAGACGGGCTAGATAGATACATAGACGTATGTGAGCCATAGATCCTGTCCCGCACTTTTCGTGTGTGTGCGTGACATCATCCATCTCCACATCCAAGCCAAACCCCAGGTAGGGGTCCATCTGCCTCTACAAGTAACAGTCAAACGCCATGAAGTCCCTGTAGTAAGACAAATGCAATCTGTTCTGATGCCTTTAAATTCAGAGATCTGCTGACGTTGAGAGCCCACCTCCTTTCTGACAGTAGCATTTGTGTGGTTTGCTCAGGACCCCGAATATCGACCGCCTCGCAGAGGAAGGCGTGAGGCTCACCCAGCACTTGGCAGCCGCCCCGCTCTGCACACCAAGCCGCGCCGCCTTCCTCACAGGGAGACATTCCTTCAGATCAGGTTGGTGTCACAGGGACGTCAGAGAAAAGGACATGTCTGTGTCCTCTCACTTTATTGTCTCTGATAATTGGGTCCCCATGGTTGAGATACAGGGAAAAGCAGTAAGAACACAATCTGCAGTTTTGTCATCTTCCTTGAATTTATGTAAAGAATATTACAGTATATACAGACACACAAAAGTTGTGATTATTGGGAATCCGCAAGACTGGGACTCTCCAGGGGTAGCTGATCGTGTCTGGCATTTAGTTTTTCTCTTCGAATATTTGAGTTGATATTGAGGTGAAGTCCTAAGTTCAGATGGGCTCTGGGTGGGTGCGGCCGGCTGAAAAATGCCCCCCAAAGGTGCCCACCTCCTAATGACTGGAACCTGTGACTGTGGGACCTTAGGTGGCAAAAGGGACTTTGCAGATGTGATTAAGGTGACGATCTTGAGAAGCAGAGATTTTCCGGGGTTATCCAGGTGGGTCAGATGTAATGCCAGGGGTCCTTCCCACACTGAGGTAGGAGGGTCATAGTTTGAAAAGGTCACATGAGTACAGAAATGAGAGTTTGGCATGATGCCAGGAAGAGTCATGAACCAAGGAATGCAGGGAACCTCTAAAAGTAATGATAGATGACAGATAGATGAGATACATGGATGGATGGATAGATAGATGGACTGGATGGATGGATGGATGGATGGATAGAGGGATGGATGGATGCATGGACCAGATGGATGGATACATGGATGGATGGACTAGATGGATGGATAGATGGATGGATGGGTAGATGGACGGATGGATGGAT